GGGGTATCGGTGGCGGTAGCTGTTCCAGTCGGGGTATCGGTGGCGGTAGCTGTTCCAGTCGGGGTATCGGTGGCGGTAGCTGCTGCGTGGTGTTCTATTTGGAGGGCAGTAATGGGCAGAGATGAGGATATTGAGGTCTGTCCAGCTCAGTGTGATGGTTACAGGCAGCAGGCAGTGATGGAGACCCACTCTCTCTATTAACCCCGTGTGCATGCTGGGTAATGGCTGCCTATTGCCAGCACTGCTCATAGGGTTTAATAGGAGAACTGCCCTCATCCATCATGGCGCCGGGCGGATCGATCTCTGTGACGTCACTTTGATTTCCTTCCTCGCTCCTTAGTGCACAGGCTCCGCCCTTCTCCGGCTGGAATCAGCAGTTCTGTTAGTGACGTCATAGGCGTGCGCCGACCAGAGCTGGCTGAACCCCTTGGAGGGTGAGGGGGAACAAGGAGAGAGAGAGAGGGGGAACATGGAGAGAGAGAGAGAAGGAGAGATGGAAGGTGATTGGGCACCATGGAGAGATATTGAAGATGAGGGCAAATGGAGAGAGAGAGAAGGAGAGGGGGGCAACATGGTGGGAGAGAGAGAAGGAGAGGGGGGCAACATGGTGGGAGAGAGATGGATGAATAGAATAACAATGAAGGTAACTGGTTTGTTTGCAGTGAGACCTTGTTGCTGATTTTCAGAGCTTGATCTAAAATTATTGTAAAGAAAATAAAAAGTTTTAAAATACTCTAAAAGCTGCCATGACACTTGGAAATTTTCTGTATGAGAATGACTGATCTATTTCATTTTGTCCCATCAAGTAAATTCTCTGATATCTGAACTGCTTTTAATCCAACAAGGTTAGCATCTCCATAAGGACCAGAGTTCATGATTTGGAGAAAGCAAGTCATCAAGTGACTCCCGGAGAACAAACTAGCAGAAGGTGGATGTGATTGATAATTCAGAGATGGACTATCAGCTTAATGGACAGGTACTTGAGAAATTCACAGTGACACTTCTCCTATCTCCTCCTTTATTCCTGCATTGATTGGGCGTGGATTGACTCGAGGATATTGGATGAGAAAAATTTATATTATATAGTGTGATGTTGGGCACAGGGAGAACATAGGCTTTATTAGACACTGTCACGATAAATTCTAACCCAACACGCAGACTAAATAAATATGATAATAGATTAGACCACGTTTACCGGTCCTTAGAAGGTTATATGCTGTTAGAATTAGAATAGTCAGGGGGAAGCCAGAAATCAGGGAAGCGAAAACAACATTAGCCGTGTCAGGAAGGATAGAACGTAGAATAGTCAGTAGAAAGCCAAGATCATAATACCAGAATAGACACAGGATATAACGCACTCTTGGGAAATAAAAACAGAAACCACAACAGGGCAATATTGAAACGGAGAGGGGATCGGAGGCAGATAAATATTACAATCCAAACTTTCCCCTGGAAGAGCCATTATTTGACG